GCATCGCTTCTAGTAACAGGTGCCTTACTAGTAGTAACAAGAAGCTATTAGAAACAAGTGCCACGCTAGTAGTAACTAGGTTGCCAGATTGGAAACGTCCTTGGGTTTCGAAGTGGATCAGTTCTGTGAACCAGGTCTCCAGACAAATTGAGGTTGGTCCAAGCCGGTACCCAATGGTACCCACGTTGCATGTGGAGAGCTTAATTGAAGACAAATGCGCAATATGAGCCAATTTCTGTACCCCCAGTGGCCCAAAATTTAGAATTGGAGCAAAATTGTGCAGATGTTCTTCACTCAAATCCGTGGCAATCTGGAAAACGGACGACAACTGCCAACCGAGATGGAAACAAGCATCTCAATGCTTGAAGTTGAACTGCCAATCTTGTAAGAAAAGAATACAACAAAAAAAGAACCATGAGAAAAAGAAGAAATCAAACATCAAAAGCAAAATCTGAATAACTATTGGCACTTACTAGTAGTAACATCAAAAGCAAAATCTGAATCGATTTTGAGGGAAACCTCCATTCCACCCGTTGTCCCTGTCATCCCTTCCCTCAGGTCCGACAGGCCTCGTCCCTCCGTGCCCTGGCCGACCTGGCGACGGCTGTGCCGATGCCGCCGGCGCGGCGGGAGCGCACGCCGGAGAAGGCGGAAGAGTCGCCTGGGTGGATTGGAAGGAGACTTCGATGAGAAGGACTTGGGATAAGCGACAATCCATGCATTCCCTGGCACCACCTCGAATTGTGTTGGATGTTGGTGAAGCGGGGTGCTGAAACGAAGGTGATGCCCGATTCTTCGTGACCGCAGACGTCTCAACAGGGTCGACCAGGAAATGCCGACCTCGCCAGTGATTCAAACGAGGGTCGTTTGCAAAACCAAGTTGACATGAACCGGTGAAAGACCCCTGAAGGTCACGGCATGTCAAGGCTGTGGATTGAAAATAGCCTGGTTGGCCAGTTTGGTGGGGGAGGATGGGGGAGGGTTTGACTCACAACGATGTTAGGGTGGGGGGGGGTTGTATCTTTGGTAAGTCCCTAGCCGACCAGTTGGTGCCGGTTTGACGTGCAGCTTCGCCAACACCAAGCAGGCTCACGTCGGCTGGTTGAATGTTTTCATTTTGGCATGTCTTCTCTAGGCATGTTCAGGTTGAAGAGATGGTTCCGGCTATGCCATGTGGCCGCCACGTCTGGCCGTTGCATGGCGGGCTGCTCTGAGGTACAGGATTTGGTTCACGCCCGGGCAGTACCAGCCCATGTGCCTTGCAGCGAAGGGATGATTCTGCAGATTAGGTAGAATTAGTCAGGGATAGACGGTCAATGATGAAAAGAGAGAACTACCAGGATTGCCTTTGTTTGCAATTGATCATATGGTTATTGTTTGTTTCATCAACATAACATTCACCAGCGAAACGAGAAACCAGCGCGAAGATGGAAAAAAAAATGGAATGAAACACCCGTCTACCTTGTCGATCCAAAAACACTCCTGGCTCAGTGTTTTGCTCTACAGTAAGTCTGACAAAAACAGGGAGAAACACTTTGTGGATGGGAACAATAATATATAATATATATATATATATTAAAATAGTATATATATATATATTAAAGTATATATAAAATATATCGTAATTATACAACCTCGATTCTGGAAGGCGAGAACTTTTGCCTCACCAGAGACCACGTTGGACCGAACTTCGTTCATACTTGCCCTCCGGACGTGTTTCTTCGCAGGGTCCAGAAGCTCCATGGAGCTCCATTTCATTCAAAACCCACGACGTGGATGGATGGATTCATTCATAAATGCAGTCCGCCGCTTGTTGTTGGCGCACTTTACATGGTTGCTATCTTGTTTCATGGAGGATGTTTCCCTGAACAATATCAACAAGAACAGTGCGGCTATGTAGAACGAGCAAAGATCTTCAACTGTTTGTATGCCAAATGATTCGAGCGCGCACAAACCCAAGCCTTTGAGGTGCCCTCCCCTCCACGAAAGTAGGACTTGGTCGCAGACTCGCAGTTTGACCCCGGTGACTTTTGTGCAATCTCAAAATGTCAGACCATCTTCAGCTTCTCGAGAATCTAGTGGCTAGTGAGAAACTCGAGAAGACACCTTAGATGAGTTTTGCCTTCTTTAGTTTTGCTTTCTGATTTTTTTGCATCGCTCTGATTCTCCAATCGCACCATGCTATGAATTCACCACTTTGTTCGGCTCAGGAGCCCCTGGCTCACACGCTCCAATCGCTTCGCACGTCCCGACGCGGCGCTTCTTCAGCGCGCCACAGCGGCGCTGCAGCAGCGGCACCCGGCGCTGCGGGCCACGTGCGAAGGGCCTATGGCGCTGAGAGCCTTCGTGTGGGGAGGTCCCAGAAATGCAAATGGTCCTAGTAGCTTCTTGCTCCTAGTAGCGATGCACTTGTTACTAGTAGCGATGCCCTTGTTCCTAGTAGCTTCTTGCTCCTAGTAGTAAGGCCAGGAGCCCCTAGTAGCTTCTTGTTCCCAGATGTTTTTCTTCTCCAAGGTGGTTGAGATTTGTGGGATTGCTTGGGTGGTGGGAGAATTTGGGAGTGAGATTTGTTGGGATGTGTGAGGTTGGGGTGGAACGTGTTCTACCGCAACCTGATGTGCTGACAGGTTCTGGCGCTGAGTTGCTAAGAGAATGAGAGGATGTCACTTGAGTGGCAACTGTAGTTACTGGGGCTTCGTATGAGGGTTTACGATTCTTGTTCCATTTTCCTGTCTTCTGGTGTTTTGTTGTTTTCCTTGATGCCCCAGTCCTCCCATCATCAATCTGAACAGCCTACGAATCCTCTTGCGCAGTGGCAGATTCCAGCACCTCCATCAATTCCAGCAGACTCCAAAAGTGGCAGGTGACCTGTGAAGTCGGGTGATCAGCTCGCCACCTCGCCGTCTCGAGGCTTACAGTCTCGGTGCTCCTGTGCGCCGCAGACGAGGTGGGCCTCTTTGGTCCACTGGCGCAGCTGCGGAGGGTGTTGGGAAGAGCTTTGTTGTGACCTAGCGGCAAGTGGCAGCTACGAACGGAACAATGTGCTGGCGGCCAGTGGCAGCGCAGAACTACCTCAAGTTAAGGGGCTCTGACCGAAAGTCCTTTTGAAAAAATGTCCTCAAAGTCCTTTTGAAAGAAACGGAGCAGTGCTGCCAAGTCCGGAGGGGCCACCCACCCATCCTGGTCATTCCTCCACATCCACCGAGGCGTGTTTGGCCAAAGGTCAAGGTGCCTTCGGCCAAGTGGCTCGCTTGCACTGTTATCTCGGACAATTCGGGCACGTCCCCGGGCGTGATGACTCTGCGTGAGCAGAGCTGACCACACAGACGAAGGGTCCAACAGAAAGCTTTGTACACGCATCACGGCGGGTAGTTGAGACTGCCCCTACCCGGAGCCGTGGTATTTCTGCAGACTGCGGACCAACATGAAGGCAAGGCATTGGTCAACAATGCCCACCAATCCATCGACATAAAGATCTGACCGTATATGTTACGGACAGAAGAAGCGCAGTCTGGAGTGATTCTCTGGAGACCACGAAGCAAAACCAAAATGTATCGGGTCTGTTGTAGATCTGCTGGAAAGCCACTGACATGATATGTACATGCCAGGGGTGCACAACTAGATTTTAACAAAAAAGGAGCCATTGGATTCTTGGCAGCCAAGTCAAGTTACCAGCAGCAACAAAGATGTCGGTCCCAGTGTCCAAACAAAGTCTCATCTGCAGCCTTCTCCGTTCAAGAATGGTGCGGTCAAGAATGTACGAGGAGCTAAGGAAGAATTCATCTCCGTCCATGTGTCTAACTGCACAGGGCTTGCCAGTCGCAATTCCAATGGAATCACAGCGCTGGTCAGCGGGATGTCTGCCTGAGATCCATCTTCTCTTGGCGGCACTGGCATTGGAGGCAAGTCGCCAATGGATTGTATAGCACACGTGCCAAGCAATTCAATGAAGGCAGTCCATCTCAATAAGCACGCGGCATTTTGCAAATGCCAGGCCTGACAAACCACGGGCGAACCACTGAAGCACCATCGCAAGCACTCTCACATGTGGCTGTTGGCCCTCATCAACAACTAAAGGCGGCATGATCACAAGCTGCCCCTCCAGGCTTTGAGCACGGCCCAGCACCGAACTTGTGTATGTGCTCTTGGTAGAAGCGCCATCCGATCTAGCACAACCATCCACCACGTGCCACTCAAGGCTGCAAAAAGGCCGCAAGGAGCACCAACCAAGTAAAGCTGAACAAAGCAAGACAACTGCGTGAGTCATGTGCCCAGTTGTACAGACTGAACCATCAATGAAGGAAGCAAAGGAGACAGTGCCAGAAAATGACTTTCCCGGAAAACATCCACAACGAAGAACATCCATGGCGTTGCAACAGCTCCCGAAGTTCTGCTGACACAGCCGCACTACTGGTAAGACTCGGGCCCACGGCTTCGCTTGCACTGTTAAAAACAACTGAAGCACTGCACTCCTGGTACTCCTGGTTCTTCCTGGGGCCTGTGAAGCAGTGGTGAACAGGTGCACCATGGTGAAACACCGTCAATCCACTGTTTGTTCGTTGAACGGCTTCGTCGAAGAAACCCTGGGCTGCGGCGACCGGGCCTGGCCCATGCTGGGCATCCACGTTTCGGGTTCACCGGATCGTGCTACCGCATCCAGTCCTGTGAGGGGTGAATCTTTGGAGAGTGGCCTTTTGGCCGAAGTCCTTCCTTTGGAATGAATTCTTTCGAAAAACGAAGTCGCTTGGAAAAGGGATCCGACCTTTCTGCCCTGCTCCACCCATCCACCCCACCCCACATTTAAAGAAAAGAAAACGCGCTCCAAAAACAGACCCGCCAGGACTCCGGAGCAACGACCTGTGGCGACGAACGCTCTCGACGTGGGTTACGCCCCCAGGAGCAAGGCGCTCGACCTCTCCGCGCCCTTCGACGTGGTCGACCTCTACGGAGCCACGGATGGGTCACGAGATGGGCCACGGGTCGATAGGCAACGGGCGGCGAATCGGCGCCGAATGGGATGGTTTCTAATAGCTACTTGCTCCTAGTAGCGATGCCAGGAGCCCCTAGCAGCTTCTTGTTTCTTATAGCTACTTGCTCCTGGTAGTGATGCCAGGAGCCCCTAGCA